ATGAAGTCGAAGCTAACATTTTGAAATATCAAAACGAATGTAATTCTGGGTTTAAAACAAAACTTGAATTGTTAAAGTATGCACTGCTTCAAAGCCAACTCCTTGAAATACCAAAATGAAGGTAATTCTGACTTTAAAACACAACTTGAATTGTTAAAGTATGCCATGCATCAAAGCTAACACCTTGAAATACCAAAACGAAAAAAATTCTGAGTTTTAAATGTAACTTGAATTTATAGAATGTGCACTGCGTCGAAACCAACGCCTTGAAATACCAAAACAAATGTAATTTCAGAAAATAAAGTAAATATGATACAACAAAAGAGAATCAATTTCTTTCAATTGGAACAATTTTCAGCAACAAAGTTTCGCTCCATTAAATATAGTCACTAGAAAGAAGGTCATAAAAGAAAAATTGTGTATTTCTCCTTTAAATTGAGAAAAGATTTTAACTAAGTTCACACTTCTCAATTTATTGCATGATATTGATTTATTCGTCAAATTTTAAAAAGAATTGAGAGTTTTCCACGTATTGCTAAAAAAATTTTTTAACTCAAATCTATATTTTTTCGCACCGATGATATTAAGGCTGTTTCTTTAAGGCTCTGTTATGTGCAATATTGCCCGTTATGTGAAATAATGCTTGTTTGCAAATAATATTCCATTTTCAGAACTGCTGTGAGTTTGCAATAGCTTTTTCCACAACTGTTATGTTAAGTTTAGCCTACCTTCTATGCCAGCTCCCTCTATTCTAATCAGTGCTCTCTGTACTAATTCCGAAAATGGCAATGAAGTAAAGCCACAGTTTTGTGAAACTGAAAAATGGCCGTGATCTAATTTTTTAATATTTAAAAAATTTCTCCACCACTGCATTGTCAGGGTTCATTAAAATTTGCAAAAACTTAGAATTATTGATTTTGATAAATTTTATCTAGATGAAAAAATCTTGCCTAATTGGCGACTTTTATGAAACTTTAATAAATTTTAAATTATTGAAGTCATATGTCTGCTCTAAAGCCCAGATCAGTGTTTCCCAAAGTGTGGTACGCGTACCAGAGGTACGGGAACAGTTGAGAGAGGGTACGCGCTCTTATGCGAAATATCTTGCAAAAACAAAAAATTCAAAAAATTTTATTTAAAAACAGAGCTAGCTATGAAAATCTACGATTACATGGCTATTTTTTGCAGAGTTAACAGTTAATAATTAGTGGTGTCAACAGCCAGTTGTGATTTTTAACTTTTGCGCAATTTTTTTATCACAGCAGCTGTTATCACAGCAAGAACTCACTGATGCAAATAAACTTATTAACAAAACTTAGTACCAAAAAAGAGAAATAAATATATTTTTAAAAAAATACATTCCTTTTTTTATTAGTGGTACACAGCGTTACGAAAAATTTAAAAAGGGTACACAAAGATCGTAAGTTTGGGAAACACTGGCCTAGATAATTCTTTAAGCCTTTGACGCAGATGGAACACCGTTGTCCCTTTTATCTATATTTATTTCCGATGCTCAAATTACGAGCAAAAATTTATTTTGGTATTTTTAAATTATAAAAAAAACAGTCTATTAGTTAGTAAAAGGATATTTTAGTTCAGATTAGCTGCAAATTTGAAACATTATTCTTTGGAAATAAACCACGTTCGGAAAATTTTTACATTTAACTTAGAAAAAGACACCAGTGTTTCATTTCACTGCCGCGGGCATTAACTTTAACAAAAACCTAGATCAAGTCAAATCAAGTATTGCATGATAAATGATAAGAAACAAATAGGAAACATACATCTGTCCAGTATTATTTAACTTTCATTGATCAAAAGCCGTTATTATTATTTTTTTTACTTATTATCCATACCTATAATTATTTTCGGAATAGCTACTTATCCATAAAATAAGAAATTGATAGTGAATTTTTTTTCTTCCTTTTATTCAGAACAAATAAATCATTTGTAACTACCACTATTTATTAGCAAACACAAATAAATATATATTTTAAAATCAAGAAGAAAGAGGTCGAGGAAATTCTACAGGCTTCTGAATACGAGGAATAATTGACGCATTTTTACTGACAGTATACAATCAATTATTTAATGCAATAAATGAAGAATTTTTGTTACTTTACTAGTAATAATCGGTGACAAGACAGATTTTTGTCATGTGGACAGATGATTGTTAAAATATTAACACTCTTTATTTATACATTTTTTTTTTAAGTTTACTTATAGAAAATAAAAATCTGAATACTTTATGTTCTTAAAAACAGATTGAAATGTTCCCGAATGAAATCATTAATGCCTAGTTGAATATCTAATTAAACTTCAAAACTTCCGTGTACTTTCGTTAAAAAAATTAAAACTGGTAATTCAAACTTTTCATTTTTGAAATTTTTTTTGGAGAAATATTGTTTTCTTGGTCACCAATACACAATAATGGTAAAGATATTCATATTTTAATCTGTATTTATGCGAATGCTGTATTTTTAAAGCTTAAGATGTAGCCAACACTAGAAATTATCAGCAGTTTAAACTCTCCAAAACTTTTTACAAAAAGATACGTTTCGCATTCAGAGATAAAAGCAAGATGGAAATAAGAAAAAAAGAACTTATAGTTAAAATACTTTATCGTGGATTTTTGTGCGAATTAAAGTAAGCTTTCGCTGTTCTTAATTATCCAACCATTAAATCTCAAACCATTAATTGTTTCGTATTGTTGGAATGTCGGGTATAAATTCTATTTCGACAATGATAAAATTATTTCCATCTTTGTAAGATCAATTCATCTTGGTTACCTTGAATCTTGTTTCATTCATGTGAATGCCGATTCCCTTGTTATTGATATGAGCTCCTCGCCACCTCCCCTTAGCAGAAATGCATTTTGCGCTAGCTTGAATCTTCCGAATACAGCGGTTTTCTAGTTTTCTTTTCATCTTTCATTCTTTATGTTTCAATCTAGGCTATCGTGGTTTTATAGCCTTGATTTTTACCTTTATTTTCTATTTTTAGTTGGCAGCTTGACGTTTTATATTCCAAATCACTTCTATTTTCCTCATTCATGTCTGGTAAGTCATGAGAATGGGTGCCAATTTTTGAGCTCTTAGGACTTGTCACCTTTTATTACCCTCTTCGCATTTTTTGCAGCAAATAAAGCTTAATGAAGTATATCTTATAACTGTTAACCAAATTATAGGGTAGTCGTGCAAAATTTTTTTCTGTGTTACTATAGAAAATTCATAAAAAAACTTGCTTTTTCAATTCTTAGTTAACTTTAGTTTCTTTAAATAGCTAGTTACATATTTCTAGCCAAATATATAATTTTGCAATAATATGAAACATTTATGCCTTAAAAGCTATAGATTTTTTAAAAAGTTATTTAGTATTCAATATTTTAACTGTATACGTTTATCGAACAACTATTTATCTAAAATTTATTTTAAAAATCTATTCAAATTATTTAAAAGGAAATGTAAATTAATTACCGTTTAGAAATGTAGCTAAAATAACTATATGGACGAAAAAGTCAATAAATACCATAAGTGAAAAAATAAAAAAGACCTCTAATATAGAGAGATAAATGAACTGCTTACAAGTATGTACTGTTTTAACTTTTATTAATTACCAGCTGAAGATATTCATAAATTTCTGGATCTTCTTCGCTAATTAAAAACTGTCATATGAATTTTTTTGATCCGTTAGAATGCGCCAACAACACTGAGAAATGGTTTTATATCATTCTTCATTTATTTTATACGAAAAAATATTGTTTTATCCACGAATTTTTAGCCATTTTTTTACCATTTTTTATTAACGTAAAAGTAATTAATTGCAAAATTAATGCCAAGTTTTACTCTTTCCGAGTACGTATTTCCCAACTAGTAGCAAAAAAACAAGTTGAAAGGCAATTGTAGATAAAATTAACTTTTTGCAATTGCTATAGTTTACACTCATTTTTGTTTCTATAACTTGCTCTTATATATAAGATTGATTTATTTGCATCTAGTGATAGCAAAATCAAATTAACTTAAATTTATAAATCAAACAGTTGAAAAGAAAATTATAAGATTCATGTCCACTTTAAATATAAAAATGAAATACTACTGACAATTCATAATCCTTGACGGGTCCACTTTAATATGAAATCATGTCCACTTTAATTTAAAATTAAGAATGAATCTATATAACATTATTAAATTCTTTATAAAACAGATAAAATTTTGAGTTTTAAAATGGGTGTAAGTGAATTTTTGTCAGCATACTATAAGTGTAAAAATCATACTATCAGTAAGATTCATGTCAACTTTAAATATAAAAATGAAATACTACGGACTATCCTTAGTACTTGATAGCTATGTATTTATTAATATTAAATTAAGAATAAATATATTATTCAATTCTTTATGCAACAGTTAAAAATTTTCATTTTAAAATACATGCTTAAGTGAATTTTTTTCAGCATAATATCAATGTAAAAATCATTTGTGACCTGGACAGCAAAATTTTATGATATAAAATAAATTATTAAATAGGAATAATATATTATTAAATTCTTTATTTAATAGCAAGAAATTTGGATTTTAAAATACGTCGTGTTTAAAGTCACTTCTTACGGCGTATGTATATCAATGTAAAATAAATCATGTATATCAATCTAAATATTTTTTGCGACCTGTCCAATTTTTATGATATGGAGATAATTATTGTGCATATAATATTATTAAATTTTTTATTTAACCGTGATTAATTTTTTTTATTTAAGTTTTAATTATATTGTAATTAATTTTATAAATTTTAATTTTTTTTATTTCATTAATAAATTTTAATGATTTTGATTAGTATTCATAAAAATGCATGCAAATATAAAATAATGTAATTTTTTTTTTAATATTGAAACTGAAAAGAAAAATATATATTTAAAGTAGAAATATATTCATTTTGATATTACAATATAGCATCATGAAACATCATCTAAATATTTTGGAAATAAAATATCCAGTTAAATTTACCAGAACATAAAATCCGGCTGCAAAACTTCCGCTTCGTACATTTCTCCAACAACAACATCCATTTATGATTGCCATAGTGAAGCACGTGCTAAAATATATTCGATCCCTATTTGTTGCATCTATGTTCTTCGGCGTTTGCCATTAGTACTGAATATCTTTGCAGAATCGACGTTCGGATCTTTGAAATGCCCGTTACTAGGTGAAGCGCCATCTGCTGGAAAGGTAATTTGTGAAAGTTTATTTCACGACGATGGAATAAAACTCTTTAGGAAAGCAAAAGAATCGTGAGTTTCAATTTCATCTTGTAGGACTATTGCTCGTAGTTATGTGATAAGAAGGGGAAAAAAAGGAAATTGGCATAGTTATGGAAGTTTGTTTGGAAAATTTTTGACAGTAATGGTTATTTTTCTTTTTTTTTGTAAAAGGCTCCTGTTAAATTGATAAGGAAAAGTGATTTTAAGACATTAAATTTCATTCAAAATGATTTTTTTTCTAAATATTTCTAAATTTTTTTTTTGGAAATCATAGCTTAAAACAGTATTTTCAGATCTGAATCATTAGGTTGAAAAACAATTTTTTTTAAAGATTTCATTTATTTATTTACTTTAATCCATTTTTTAATAAATAAGTTAAACGATTTTTTTTCTATCATTTTCTAAATAAATAAAAAATCTTCAATTCACAATTGGTGTTATGCAATAATCACCCTTAATCTATACATTAAGTCAAAAAAGTATGCATGTTAGGAATTGTCAATTAATATTTAAGCGAAGAAAAAGCAAACACGCTATCAAAATTTCTCGAATCTCACGTGAAGATGACTAAATGAAAAATATCTGTTTGATAAATTGACGCTGTTCAGTTCCTCGTATACTGTTTCTTCAAACGAGTTTAAATGCTTTTAGTCCCGCTGTCTCCACATGTCATTCGTTAGATTTCGAATCTTGTTTCCATTTAGTTATATTTGCACTTCAATATGTGTTTCTGCTTATTATTGCCCTTAAATACCAATTGTGCATGTGTACCGATTCTTAATGTACATGCATTTTTTACTTTACTTTCTACATGTACTCTAAGATATGCTTTATAAGTAATAGATGAATAAAATAATAAAAGAAATAAAAATATATCCTAAGATTATTGGGTTGGCAACTTGTAGACGTCGTTTATTTTATAATTTCGCAGTTTTTGGCATAATGCTTTTGATCATTCGAAAGAAGATGTCTTATTCCACCGTAATCTATGAATTTTTTTTGTTCCAGTTAATTTTAGTTAATTTTCAGATCGTCAACTAGAATGTCTAGTTGAGAGAAATGAACATTTTCAACACTTCCTTCTATTTGATTTAAATCAAATTTCTGAGCCCGCAAAATCTGCTCGTGACAGTTGTGTTGCGTAAGGAGAGGATGGCAAAGCGAAAGAACCGCTTGTGATTGGCATGTCAAGTTTAAAGATAAAAATTTGAACCTCAATGGAGTACCTAGTTGTAGCCGTCCTGTTGAGTTAATTGGAGACTACTTTTGTACGAAAATTCGTGCCAAACGACAAAGAAACCGGAAGAGGCGATGGATCGCTCTCTAACTTTAAATCGTTTTTTTTTTAAACAAATAAGAAGAAACAGCTAGAACTTAGCTGCCAGCTCAATAGGAAAGAAAATTAGAGAATATGGCATAGTTAAAGAACATAATTCAGCAATATGCGAGAAAACATTACCCCTCTGACATGTGAAATATTTCGTACTATTGGGAAAAATACCTTTATGATAAAAGAGCTAAAATATTCGCAACATTTTTATTACTTATCATACACTGTTAGAATGTCCATTCTAATTTTATGGTAAAAAAACCGGTAAGCAGTCTGTCCATCTAATTAACCGTAAAATTTACGGCAAAAACAATTTTTTACCTTTATGGTTTTGAAACCATTTACAACTAGTATGGTTAAGAAACAATGAGTACAAAACTGTACGATTTTTTTACCATTTACAATTAGCATGGTTTAAAAACCATAAAAAAGAAATTTAACAGGTCATTGGAGCTGGGGCTTTAGTTAGGTAATGGGCATTTTAGCTTGGTTGTGGCTGAGTTAGTTGTCTTTATCAAATCAAATTAGTTTATCTGGTTGTTTCGTCAATCGTAAGAAATGGGAAATGGGATTTGTGTTGAGCACCTTCATGGTGCTGTCATCTATGTGTGAGTGAGAGTATCATATCCTAATAGTCCAGGGTCACAAATAGAGGTCACCAGAATCTCTTCATATGTTAAAGGGAATGGTGAATATATTGCAGTGTCAGCTCTGGGACTTGATCCCCTCTTCTGTCGATTGACAGCCCTCTCAGCTATAATATGTACCCAGCTGCAAGGACCTATATGGCTTCAATTAGGTGGGCTTAGTTGGTGCAATAAAATTCTGATTTTTTGCCATACTAGGTGAAAGCAGTAAATTGCCTACAGTTAAGAGTTGAAATACTTTCTTTTATACGGTTTTTTGACTTCCTTGCTTGGATATGGTATATTAACAGTTAAATACTATGTTATTTAACCACTTTTTTCGAGAAAATTCTAACAGTATAGCTTAAACTATGTTGGCACTCTCAAACGTTAACTTCTACTTTTCTTTGTAGAAAAACTACTATCACATAAATTCATATAAATGCATAGTTATATTGTCAAAATATTCACTTGATGAATTCAGCTCACATTAGTTGAATAAGAATGTTTTGATATAGGAATAAATAAGATAATATATGCAAACACTAAAATACTAATAACGCAATCAAATTCTTTGAAGCCTATATATTAACTTTTAATTATAATTTATCTTTATACGGTATCTTGCATGACAAATAAAGCAGTTGGAGCAATACAATTAAAGCTCAAAATTATTCCATTTTTTCAGGAACGTATTTGAGAGAGTTTCCTGCAAAAAAGGTTCGCAATTTCCGAGCCGACATTGAAATTTTCAGCTTAGTTTGCTGCCATTTAGCAGAAGTTTTGCACATTTTTAAACTAAATATCTAAAAATGATATTAAGGGAAAATTTGAACAAAAAATTTTAAATTTGGAAAAAATATGTCTTTCCTTTATATTTTCACATGACATTGAAATGAAATAATTATAGGATTTGAAAAAAGAATATTCCGAAATAAAACACATGTAGGTAAAAAAGATGCGACTAAAAATCAATTAAAGTGAAAATTTGAAATTTAAAAAGAAAATCTAGTCACTCATCAGTATGAACTATCGAAATTTATTAGCCGTCAGTTTTAAATCTTATAAACATTAGTTAAATACAGTTCTTCGTATGGTGTGAAAAATTGTAAATAAACAATAAATCGGTATTATAAATACTACGGAATTATGAACTAAACTGAAAGACCTCTAACGACACAATTAAAAAAAAGGTAAAATAATATCATTTATTTATTCTATTTTTCGACTTTAATAATAATTATGAAAAGCATGTTTTAAAAATTTCCCATTCCATCAAAATAAAAGATTTTTCGACTTTAATTATGTAAAGCATGTTTATAAAAATTCTCATTCCATCAAAATAAAAGATTTTTCGACTTTAATAATAAATATGCATAACATTTTGTAAAATTTCTCATTCTATCAAAATAAAAGATTTTTCGACTTTAATAATAATTATGCAAAACATGTTTTTAAAATATCTCATTCCATTAAAATAAAAGATTTTTCGACTTTAATAATAATTATGCAAAGCATGTTTATAAAAATTCTCATTCCATCAAAATAAAAGATTTTTCGACTTTAATAATAATTATGCAAAGCATTTTGTAAAATTTCTCATTCCATCAAAATAAAAGATTTTACGACTTTAATAATAATTATGCGAAACATGTTTTTAAAATTTCTCATTCCATCAAAATAGAAGATTTTTCGACTTTAATAATAATTATGCAAAACATGTTTTTAAAATATCTCATTCCATCAAAATAAAAGATTTTTCGACTTTAATAATAATTATGCAAAACATGTACAAAATGTTTTTCATTCCATCAAAATGAAAGATTTTTCGACTTTAATAATAATTATGCAAAACATATTTTTAAGATTTCTCATTTCATCAGAATAAAAATTAACTAGTTTCAATATCACTTAGTGTGGTACTATTTCTTCTGGCTAGCCCCTGATATTCAATTTTTACCGCAATCAAACTATTTTCTCAACAACTTATACCTTTCATCAGCCATTAAAAATTATCACAGTACCTACATTAATCTAATTGAGGCCTATATTTGTCGAATTGGCTCCTATTAAAACAGAACCAATTGCCACAAAACCAGGAGTATCACTTACCAAAATTATATATTTACCGTGGGAGTTAATAGCAGTATTTTTAATTTTCATGGCTCCCCTAAACTAATAAATACCTCTTCCCCTTTTATTTTGCTTTGAACTCTTAATTAGTTTTATTTACTAATGGTTTTAAATTACTTAGTTTCAGATAAATCTTTTTATAAACAAAAACATGCGATTTTAGGAATACTAATTCGGAGACATAGCCCTCACATGCCACCTACCTTGATCTTTGAGCTTATCTAAAATAACTGATAAGAAATTATTGCCTATTACAGAATGCAGAAAAACTCTTTTTTGATTAAATACAGCTATGAGCTACCATCACTGACTTTTAAATGTGTGAAGGAAAAAAAAACAGCAGCATCAGCAGTTTAATTTAAAAATTTCTAATACTACAAATTTCTAATGCCCATTTTTTAAACGGACAGTCAAAGAGTATGTATACAGTTAATGAAAGAGGTTAAAATAAGATCTTCGATTGGGAATATATTAAATGTTATGACCATTAAAATGCTTATAAAGAGTGATATGTGAGCATCAAGTAAAAAATTTTATGGAGATGCCTAATTGAAATGACGTCATTTTTAGTTTATTAAATTTTTAAGACATTAAAAAGTACTTATAGAAAGTTATTCACGATCAATATATGAGGGTAATATATCATTTTTAATTACCATCTATAATAGTTATTGACATCTATAAAAGAAAAAAAACTCTTCCTCATCAAATATAATGGAAAAACTTGACATAAAAATCGAAAGATTAATTCGTAGCTATTTTTAGAGATATATTATTTTTA